GGGAGACCAGAGAGAGAGAGCAGAGAGAGAGACTAGAGAGAGACCAAAGAGAGACCAAAGACAGATCAGAGAAAAACTAGAGAAAGACCAGAGAGAGAGACCAAAGAGAGACAGTATAAAACCCAGTTAAGTCCAAATGAGAATCTGTAAATGAGTTTCCAGGCCTTAACCGTCGCTGGGTCCCATCGGTGATAAAGGATAAATGCTAAGAACACATTTCCCCATCGATCCCGGCTGTAATGTGAGATGTTTCAATCAGGTACGGACCATAAAGACACAGAGCAGATTCAGAACAGGTTTGACATTTTGGAAACCTGAAAGCCTGATTAGTCTGTGTCACAATTTTTGTTCTGCTGAGACCAGACGAGAAAGAGGAGAGCGTTTTGGCAGATGAGTTTTAAATGTCACTTCTAACTGTGCCATTACAAGTCATAGAGTGAAGATGGGAAAAAAGTGCTCAGTTGATTTTAGCAGAAAAACGTCCACTTCCTGCTTCGCTTCCGAACCTACAGGTTCAGGATTTTAGAATCGATGAGGACTGAGTTTGGGCTTACGTTATTGTAGATTTATACTGTAGGTTTATCTGAGTTTACAGAGAGAGACTAAAGAGAGGCCGGAGAGAGACTAGAGAGAGACTAGAGAGACACCAGAGAGAGCAACTAGAGAGGGACTAGCGAGAGACTGGAGAGAGACTAGAGAAAGACTAGAGAGAGATCAGAGAGACCAGAGACCAACTAGGGAGGGACTAGATAGAGACAAGAGAGAGACTAGAGAGAGACCAGAGAGTGAGACTAGAGCGAGACTAGAGAAAGACTACAGAGAGACAAGATAGAGACTAAAGAGAGACCAGAGAGAGATGGAGGGACTAGAGAGACTAGAGAGAGACCAGAGAGAGACTAGAGGGACCAGAGGGACTAGAGACCAACTAGGGAGGGACTAGAGAGAGACTAGAGAGAGACTAGAGAGAGACCAGAGAGAGACCAGAGAGAGACCAGAGAGAGACAACAGAGAGACCAGAGAGAGACTAGAGGGACCAGAGGGACTAGAGACCAACTAGGGAGGGACTAGAGAGAGACCAGAAAATCATATATATCAACATTAAAAGAGTGAAGATCCCAAATGTTCTATTAACTTGGATTTGAACAACTTACTGTCCAAGCTGTGGACCTCTCTGACCTTTGTGCTGAAAGAGAACTCACTTCCATCTTTAAGGTTTAGTATTTTTCTCATGACTCTTTATCTTCTGCAGTTGGCCTTTACAACTGTAGGTTTAATCCCACTCTGCTCATGTGTGAGGCCAGAGAGAGAGCAGAGAGAGACCAGAGAGAGGCCAGAGAGAGACAAGAGAGAGACCAGAGAGAGACCAGAGAGAGACTAGAGAGAGAGCAGAGAGAGACCAGAGAGAGGCCAGAGAGAGACAAGAGAGAGACCAGAGAGAGACCAGAGAGAGACTAGAGAGAGAGCAGAGAGAGACCAGAGAGAGGCCAGAGAGAGACAAGAGAGAGACCAGAGAGAGACCAGAGAGAGACTAGAGAGAGAGCAGAGAGAGAGCAGAGAGAGAGCAGAGAGAGACCAGAGAGAGACCAGAGAGAGACCAGAGAGAGACCAGAGAGAGACCAGAGAGAGACTAGAGAGAGAGCAGAGAGAGAGCAGAGAGAGAGCAGAGAGAGACCAGAGAGAGAGCAGAGAGAGACCAGAGAGAGACCAGAGAGAGACCAGAGAGAGACCAGAGAGAGACCAGAGAGAGAGCAGAGAGAGAGCAGAGAGAGACCAGAGAGAGACCAGAGAGAGACCAGAGAGAGACCAGAGAGTGACCAGAGAGTGACTAGAGAGAGACTAGAGAGAGAGCAGAGAGAGAGCAGAGAGAGACCAGAGAGAGACCAGAGAGAGACCAGAGAGAGACCAGAGAGAGACCAGAGAGAGAGCAGAGAGAGAGCAGAGAGAGACCAGAGAGAGACCAGAGAGAGACCAGAGAGAGACCAGAGAGAGACCAGAGAGTGACCAGAGAGTGACTAGAGAGAGAGCAGAGCGGCATAGTGGCTGAGTGGATAGCATTCTCGCCTCTCAGCAAGAAGGTCCTGGGTTTGAAACCATGTTCGGAACAGGGCCTTTCTGGGTGGAGTTTGCATGTTCTCCCCTTGTCTGCGTAGATTTCCTCCGGGTACTCCGGTTTCCCCTACCACTAAAAATATGTACAATAGGCATGCGCCTCCTGTACTGGCCCCGCTCCCGTCTCTGTGTGGAGTTAGAGACAAGTGCCCAAAAATAACAATTGTAAACTCCTTTGTGACTCTGGTCTGTGAAAGGCGCTATATAAATAAAGATTACTTACTTACTTACACAGAGAGACCAGAGAGAGGCCAAAGAGAGACCAGAGAGAGACCAGAGAGAGACCAGAGAAAGACCAGAGAGAGACCAGAGAGGGACCAGAGAGAGAGACATGTGTTGACCCTTCCCTCTCTCCTGTTCCATCCACAGAACAGACTTTCTTGTTGGTTCCTTTTCCCACAGAATCTCTTTGTTTTCAGAAGTTAGACAGTTTTGACGCGAACTCACATTTTCCAAACATCAAAATCCTGCAGCAAAACATTCCATCAAACTGTAACCAGATCATTTCAAACCCAATATCGGAGCGGGCCGTTCCAGACCAGGCCTTTCTCTCCACACTGTCGCCTTCACTAAATCCATTGACATTGATCCGCCGCCCGCAGCCTCGCTCTGCTCACGACGCCTTCTCTGATTCAATAAGCAGGACCGGGTCGACATGCCACAGACCGAGGGTTTCTCTGTCACTGAGGCAGACGGTGCGAGTCCAAAACCGAGAAACTCCATCTGAGACTCCGGGTTCCACCGTTTAGATTATTGGTGTTTAGAATGAGTTTATGGATGTGTCTTTGCAGAAGGGTCTGAGGGCTGTCGCTAAGGTGCTATCGCTAGACATGGTAATGCCCAGTCAGTCCTGGGTCTACAGCCTCAGTCCTGGGTCTACAGTCTCAGTCCTGGGTCTACAGCCTCAGTCCTGGGTCTACAGCCTCAGTCCTGGATCCACAGCCTCAGTCCTGGACCTACAGCCTCAGTCCTGGGTCTACAGCCTCCGTCCTGGGTCTACAGCCTCAGTCCTGGGTCTACAGCCTCAGTCCCTCTCTTAATGACAACAACAATGGACCAATGTCTCCATGTGTTGCATTATTGCATTTCTTGTGTTTGAATATCCAGTTTTGTACAAGAGTAAAGTCCGTAGAATAGATCTGATGCTAAAGCTCGGCCGTTGCTGGATCCTGCCGGTTCTGTGTGGTGTGAGATCATACTGAACATACTGAACAGTGCAGCAGGAGCAGAAACAGAAGGTGTCAGACTGAAATGAATCATCGACAGTTTCTCCGATACCACAGGGAGCTCGCCGGGCTCCGCTGGGCTCCGCTGAGGCCGGACGTCTTCCACTTCTCTTCTGTCGGCTGCAGGTTTATTATGAGAGGGAAGATCAAACACAAGGATGCTGTATTTACTTTACAGAATGGATCTAACTGTCTCTACTTGTCAATGGTTCATGATAATAATAATAATAATATGGGTTTCATACAGCGCTTTTCTGGACAATTCACAAAATGTATTCAAAACACGCAATTGTTCATTCTCTCCAAACACAGTGGTGATAAACTACCACTGTCGCCACAGCTGCCCTGGGGCACACTGACAGAAGCGAGGCAACCAGTCTGTGCCATCAGCCCCTCCCACCACCACCAACCATTCACACACACACCAGACTCATTCTAATGTGGGGGAAGTGTCTTGCCTAAGGACACAACCACAAACACGACCTACCCACTGTGGCACCTGTTGTTCCCAGAGGTCTCCCATCACAGTGGTAACCATGCCCAGCCCTCCTTAGCTTCAGAGGTCTGACAGGATCTGACTTTTACCTGCAGGTGGCGCCACTTGTCACCACAGTCTTCAGTCTCAATGCTATTGGTCCATTGGGAGCGAGAAGACCACAGTCCTCAGACCCTCCTGCAGCAGAGAGGATCCACTCAAAATGAAAACCTGCTGGAAAAATCTCAAGGAGGACACAGGTACATATTGACACACAGAGACACAGGTACATATCGACACACAGAGACACAGGTACATATAGACACAGAGACACAGGTACATATAGACACAGAGACACAGGTACATATAGACACAGAGACACAGGTACATATCGACACACAGAGACACAGGTACATATAGACACACAGAGACACAGGTACATATAGACACAGAGACACAGGTACATATAGACACAGAGACACAGGTACATATAGACACAGAGACACAGGTACATATAGACACAGAGACACAGGTACATATAGACACAAGGAGACACAGGTACATATAGACACAGAGACACAGGTACATATAGACACAGAGACACAGGTACATATAGACACAGAGACACAGGTACATATAGACACAGAGACACAGGTACATATAGACACAGAGACACAGGTACATATATATATATTATGTACCTGTGTCTCTCACAGACACAGAGACACAATTTTCATAATCATGAAAATAAAAAACTCTTTGAATGAGGTGTGTCCAAACTTTTGCTCTGTACTGTACCTACAGTAACTATCTATGTACAGTGTATATCTATGTACAGTGTGTATCTATGTACAGTGTGTATCTATGTACAGTGTGTATCTATGTACAGTGTGTCTATGTACAGTGTATATCTATGTACAGTGTGTATCTATGTACAGTGTGTCTATGTACAGTGTATATCTATGTACAGTGTGTATCTATGTACAGTGTGTCTATGTACAGTGTGTATCTATGTACAGTGTGTATCTATGTACAGTGTGTCTATGTACAGTGTGTATCTATGTACAGTGTGTATCTATGTACAGTGTGTCTATGTACAGTACTATGTATCTGAGCCTCTGCCTCTCTGAGTCTTAGTCCTTTCTGTCTGATAGAATCTCCGTCCTTTGAACCTCTTGCAGGTTCTCAGACTATTCCGTGGCCTCAGACTGAGTCTGGACTTCAGACTGTTCCATGGCCTCAGACTGAGTCTGGACTTCAGACTGTTCCGTGGCCTCACACTGAGTCTGGACCTCAGACTGTTCCATGGCCTCAGACTGAGTCTGGACTTCAGACTGTTCCGAGGCCTCACACTGAGTCTGGACCTCAGACTGTTCCATGGCCTCAGACTGAGTCTGGACTTCAGACTGTTCCATGGCCTCAGACTGAGTCTGGACTTCAGATTGTTCCATGGCCTCAGACTGAGTCTGGACTTCAGACTGTTCCATGGCCTCAGACTGAGTCTGGACTTCAGACTGTTCCATGGCCTCAGACTGAGTCTGGACTTCAGACTGTTCCATGGCCTCAGACTGAGTCTGGACTTCAGACTGTTCCATGGCCTCAGACTGAGTCTGGACTTCAGACTGTTCCATGGCCTCAGACTGAGTCTCATTACAAACGTCACAGTAAACTCAGATCCAATGGTTTAATCTTTCAAGGAGTTAGCCCCTCCCACCTGTTCACGGAGTCATTGGAGACAATCCAGACCTTAGTACCAAATGAAATGAGTACAATGGTGTGGTAAGACCAGACTACCACAGGTTTGGACATGGCTCTTTAGTGTGTGTGTAGTGTGTGTGTGTTTCAGTCTTCCAAATTCTTAATTCCTAAACAAATTTGTTATTGAGTTAAACTATATCACACACTGAGTGGTTAGCACTTGTGCTTCACAGCAAGAAGGTCCTGGGTTCAATTCCCACCTCTAAGCCTTTCTGAGTAGAGTTTGCATGTTCACCCCATGTGTGCGCAGGTTTCCTCCAGGTGCTCCGGTTTCTCCTACCACTAAAAACATGTCCAATAGTTCCAACATGTGTCTCTCTCTCTGTGTGTGAAATGGTAAGGCTCTTTGCTGTACACATAAAAACATACGTCTTCCTGTTTCTGCGGTTCTGCTTTTGGGTCCGTCCTTGTTTCCCCGTGACATTCTCGGTCTTTTCATGTCTCTGTTCCAGACTCTGCTCGGAGCTCGGCCTTTTCTCCGTCCTGCTCGCCATATCCATGTCCAGGCGAGTATACAATTTGGCTCTGCGGCGTGTGACGGACAGGTGCATTACTGGCTCTATCTGCAGCGGCAAAACAGCCAGAACAGTTATGACCCGCTGAACTGGGCTGAAATAATGTGTCTATCACAGAGGGAGGGACACACATGGTCCTGGGGGAGACCAGGGATGTGGGAACCAGCGGGGAAGGGTTCAAGTAAATACAATTCTATGTATTTGTGTCTCAGCAGCAGACTTACTACAGCAACAGCAGATCAGAGACTGAGGCTGTAGACCCAGGACTGAGGCTGTAGACCCAGGACTGAGGCTGAGACCCAGGACTGAGGCTGCAGACCCAGGACTGAGGCTGCAGACCCAGGACTGAGGCTGTAGACCCAGGACTGAGGCTGTAGACTAGGACTGAGGCTGTAGACCCAGGACTGAGGCTGTAGACTGGGACTGAGACTGTAGTCCCAGGACCGAGGCTGTAGACCCAGGACTGAGGCTGTAGACCCAGGACTGAGGCTGTAGACTGGGACTGAGACTGTAGACCCAGGACTGAGACTGTAGACCCAGGACTGAGGCTGTAGACCCAGGACTGAGGCTGCAGACCCAGGACTGAGGCTGCAGACCCAGGACTGAGGCTGCAGACCCAGAACTGAGGCTGTAGACCCAGGACTGAGGCTGTAGACTAGGACTGAGACTGTAGACCCAGGACTGAGGCTGTAGACTGGGACTGAGACTGTAGTCCCAGGACCGAGGCTGTAGACCCAGGACCGAGGCTGTAGACCCAGGACTGAGGCTGTAGACCCAGGACTGAGGCTGTAGACTGGGACTGAGACTGTAGACCCAGGACTGAGACTGTAGACCCAGGACTGAGGCTGTAGACCCAGGACTGAGGCTGTAGACCCAGGACTGAGGCTGTAGATCCAGGACTGAGGCTGTAGACCCAGGACTGAGGCTGTAGACCCAGGACTGAGGCTGTAGATCCAGGACTGAGGCTGTAGACCCAGGACTGAGGCTGTAGACCCATGACTGAGGCTGTAGACCCAGGACTGAGGCTGTAGACTGGGACTGAGACTGTAGACCCAGGACTGAGGCTGTAGACTGGGACTGAGACTGTAGACCCAGGACTGAGGCTGTAGACCCAGGACTGAGGCTGTAGATGCAGGACTGAGACTGTCCCAGTACTGAGACTGTAGACCCAGGACCGAGGCTGTAGACCCAGGACTGAGGCTGTAGACCCAGAACTGAGGCTGTAGACCCAGGACTGAGGCTGTAGACTGGGACTGAGACTGTAGACCCAGGACTGAGGCTGTAGATCCAGGACTGAGGCTATAAACCCAGGACTGAGGATGTAGACCCAGGACTGAGGCTGCAGACCCAGGACTGAGGCTGTAGACTGGGACTGAGGCTGTAGACCCAGGACTGAGGCTGTAGACTGGGACTGAGGCTGTAGACCCAGGACTGAGGCTGTAGATCCAGGACTGAGGCTGTAGACCCAGGACTGAGGCTGATCCATAAAACGTGAAATCTTATGAAGACACAGACGATCGATTCACTGATGATTTAGTCCAATCAGAGGCCGTGGACTGAGGCAGGGACTCGTGCTGGTCCTGAACGAGAAACATGATGCAGTATTGTGTGACTTTAAAGCTGGGGTACCTAACTTTCTGACAACAACAACAACAACAACAACAGCAACAATATATACAGTATGTGTGAAAATATACACAGTTTGAGCAGTAGTTTTCATAATTTGCTGCATGACTCTCCTCTGCTGCTTTACTTCTCTCTCCCTCTGGTCTCTCTCTCTGGTCTCTCTCTGGTCTCTCCCTCTGGTCTCTCTCTCTGGTCTCTCCCTCTGGTCTCTCTCTGGTCTCTCTCTCTGGTCTCTCTCTCTGGTCTCCCTCTGGTCTCCCTCTGGTCTCCCTCTGGTCTCTCTCTGGTCTCTCTCTGGTCTCTTTCTGGTCTCTCTCTCTGGTCTCTCTCTGGTCTCTTTCTGGTCTCTCTCTCTGGTCTCTCTCTCCGCTCCCTCTGGTCTCTCTCTCTCTGGTCTCTCTCTCTGGTCTCTATCAATGCTCTCTCACACTGCCTCTCACCACTCTGGTCTTTCTCTGGTTTTTCCTCTCTCTTTGTTCTCTCGCTCTCCCCCCCCCCCCCCCCCCTCCCCCACTCTCCCCCCTCTCTCCCCTTCTGCCTCCCTGTCTCACCGTACCATACATACTCATAGTTCTGCATGTTTACCACCTGTTTACATCCGTCACATTCAAAGCCACAGATTCTCACATTTAGAGAAAAGCAGTTCAGACGGTTCCCCAGAGCAGAGCAGGAGAGAGAGGAGGTCTGTGTGGGAGGGGGAGGTTTCTATCCTTAATGTGGAGGTTTCTATCATTAATGTGGAGGTTTCTATCATTAATGTGGGAACAATAGTGGCCCCCAGTCTCTGCGATGGACAATGGGTCGATATTTATGAGAGAGTAGTGTTCATTTCTAGTCCGAAGTATTGTGTTATTGCCCTAAGGCACTAATGTTAACACTGGCCTGAGGCTGTAGATCCAGGACTGAGGCTGTAGATCCAGGACTGAGGCTGTAGACCCAGGACTGAGGCTGTAGACCCAGCACTGAGGCTGTAGACCCAGGACCGAAACTGTAGACCCAGGACTGAGGCTGTAGACCCTGGACTGAGGCTGTAGGACCAGGACTGAGGCTGTAGATCCAGGACTGAGGCTGTAGATCCAGGACTGAGGCTGTAGACCCAGGACTGAGGCTGTAGACCCAGGACTGAGGCTGTAGACCCAGCACTGAGGCTGTAGACCCAGGACCGAAACTGTAGACCCAGGACTGAGGCTGTAGACCCTGGACTGAGGCTGTAGGACCAGGACTGAGACTATAGACCCAGGACTGAGGCTGTAGATCCAGGACTGAGGCTGTAGATCCAGGACTGAGGCTGTAGACCCAGGACTGAGGCTGTAGACCCAGCACTGAGGCTGTAGACCCAGGACCGAAACTGTAGACCCAGGACTGAGGCTGTAGACCCTGGACTGAGGCTGTAGGACCAGGACTGAGACTGTAGACCCAGGACTGAGGCTGTAGGTCCAGGACCGCGGCTATAGACCCAGGACTGAGGCTGTAGACCCAGGACTGAGGCTGTAGACCCAGCACTGAGGCTGTAGACCCAGGACCGAAACTGTAGACCCAGGACTGAGGCTGTAGACCCTGGACTGAGGCTGTAGACCCAGGACTGAGACTGTAGACCCAGGACTGAGGCTGTAGGTCCAGGACCGCGGCTATAGACCCAGGACTGAGGCTGTAGATCCAGGACCGAAGCTGTAGACCCGGGACTGAGACCGCGACAAACCAGGGAACACTCTCCATCTCCTCTTTTCCTCTGAGGTTGTGTAGTGTAGTGTTGTGTAGTGTTGTGTTGTGTTGTGTTGTTGTGGAGGTTCTTTGTGCGTCTCTTCCTCGGAGTCGTGCTGGGAGCATGAACCTGTAGCATCCATCTCTGTGTGCGGCGCTCTGCTGGAGACGGACTAACGACCTGACGGAGGAACGGCCGCTAATTAGCACATAATGAAGATATGACGCTAACGTTGCTAATGGCTGCTTTTACAAAACGCAGAGTCAGCAGAAAGATCGGCCAAGGTCACCACAGAGAGGCTCCCGGGGGCCCCACTTTCATGTTAGAGCTACTCATTAAAACACACTGTCTTTTATCTTGTGATGGAGCTTTCGCGAAAGTTCACTGTGGTAGACCCGGCTGCTGCTTGCCCAGGACCTACAAGCCTGCTCATCCTCGACTCATCAGACCAGCAACGCCCACATCTAATCAACCAATAACCACCAGGACAGCAAGTTAAAGGCCGGAGACGCCCACTTCCCGGCCTTCTGAAGTCTGCAAGCCTCCGCCGCCCCACCTCCTCCTTCTCTCATCGAAGCGTGCTTGCCTACTGCCTCTGCCGTCACCAGTACCTAGGCCCCGGGGGGGATTATGCGCGCGATCAAGCGCCGCACTCATCAGCATCTCTCCCGGGCCTAGGGCGCCAAACATACTTAATCCTAAACTTCTAACTGCATTTTCCCTCATGGGTCTCTCCAAGGTGAACTGGTTTCGGTGCAGGAGACAGAGGAGACTTCCCCTTTAACTCCAGTCGGATCCATTCATTTAGACAATAATAATAATCCACTTTCTGACAATTAGTGCAAACTTCTTTGTTCATAAGGAACAAATATTTGACGATCAAGGATCACTGTTGATGGTATAAACTCTAGGGCTGGGGATCACTAATAAGGCCTCAGTCCTGGGTCTACAGCCTCAGTCCTGGGTCTACAGCCTCAGTCCTGGGTCTACAGCCTCAGCCCTGGGTCTACAACCTCAGTCCTGGGTCTTCAGCCTCAGCCCTGGGTCTACAGCCTCAGTCCTGGGTCTTCAGCCTCAGGGTGCTTTCACACCTGCACCATTTAGTCCACTTAAAGCGGACTGGAGTCTGGTCTCGGTGCGGTTCCTTGTGGACTCCAGTCTGGTTCGCTGCTGGTGAGAACGCAGTCCGGCCTCAATGTGGCCCTGGTATGTTACGTAGCTCACTTTTTGACACACACATTGTTTTTTTTTTATATGATAGAATAGTCAAAAACACCCGCAGATTGTTCTCGTGCTGAATCCGCGATACATACTGGAACAACAGTATTTGTGCTGCACAAAGCAACGATGATAAAAAATTTCCAAAAAACGCAGAGTAGCACAGTCACATACATCATCCAATACACAGTATTTTGTGAACAGCGCCACCACATGGGTGGCGGAATATGTAACATATACAGTGGTTGGTTCATTTGCAAAAACACTGATGTGAATGAGAACCAAACTAGTTGAGAACTGCAACATTGTAACAACTTTAGGGCCCAAGCGAACCACTTTACGGGACCAACAGGTGTGAAAGCACCCTCAGTCCTGGATCTTCAGCCAAATCTCTCCTGGGCCCCGGGTACACTCTATCTGGACAGGACATTTAATAACACAAAACAAACAGAGACCAGAGAGAGACCAGAGTGAGACCAATATTTTAAATGTGTTTTATTAGAAAAACCAGCCAATCCACTTTGTGCGTGTTTCTGGTGTCCTCATCCTGAACCTGGGAGTCCGCTCTGGTCCGTAATCCAGTTTCATGGTTGGAAGTGGCCACCGCAGAAAGCACATTCTATTACTGAAACAAAATCATGTCAAGGAGCAGGCGCAATCCGCCGATGGAAGAGAAGCCAATCTGTCCTTATCTTGTTATTGATAAAACACTGGAGCCGACCAGCAGCCCTGTGATGTCACACTCAGAGACCGAGGAGGAGGTCGGGACCAGGTGGACCAGGCTTTTATGGTTAATTCATTTTCAAATCAGTCGTCAATATCATGCAGTGGAATGTTTAATTATTGATTGTAAATAGATGGAGAGCTAACACCTGCTAGCAAAGAGAGAGACCAGAGAGAGACCAGAGAGAGGGACCAGAGAGAGACCAGAGAGAGACCAGACAGAGACCAGACAGAGACCAGAGACAGACCAGAGAGTGGGATCAGAGAGAGACCAGAGAGACCAGAGAGAGACCAGAGAGAGAACAGAGAGAGACCAGAGAGAGACCAGAGAAATAGAAAGACCAGAGAGAGACCAGAGAGAGACCAGACAGAGACCAGACAGAGACCAGAGACAGACCAGAGAGTGGGATCAGAGAGAGACCAGAGAGAGACCTGAGAGAGACCAGAGAGAGAGACCAGAGAGAGACCAGAGAGAAGCCAGAGAGAGACCAGAGAAATAGAAAGACCAGAGAGAGACCAGACAGAGACCAGACAGAGAGACCAGAGAGAGACCTGAGGGAGACCAGAGAGAGACCTGAGAGAGACCAGAGAGAGACCAGAGAGAGACAATCTGTGGCTCCAACAGCCTTCAACTCGACACACATCCACAGGAGCCTGAGCTCGTGATAAGCAGGTCTCCCATCATCCATCTCCCGCGGACGTCTCTCTGGCGCTAAACGACCGTAATTACATGATTCTATGGCTGCATTGTGCCCTTGATCCTCGTGGGGGATCCTGGGGCAGGCTCTCTCTGGTCTCTCTGCCTGGTCTCTCTCTGGTCTCTCTCTGGTCTCTCCCTGGTCTCTCTCTGGTCTCTCTCTGGTCTCTCTCTGGTCTCTCTCTGGTCTCTCTGCCTGGTCTCTCTCTGGTCTCTCTGCTTGGTCTCTTCCTGGTCTCTCTCTGGTCTCTCTCTGGTCTCTCTCTGGTCTCTCTGCTTGGTCTCTCCCTGGTCTCTCTCTGGTCTCTCTCTGGTCCCTCTCTGGTCCCTCTCTGGTCTCTCTCTGGCCTCTTTCTGGTCTCTGTCTGGTCTCTCTCTGGTCTCTCTCTGGTCTCTCTCTGGTCTCTCCCTGGTCTCTCTCTGGTCTCTCCCTGGTCTCTCTCTGGTCTCTCTCTGGTCTCTCTCTGGTCTCTCTCTGGCCTCTTTCTGGTCTCTGTCTGGTCTCTCTCTGGTCTCTCCCTGGTCTCTCTCTGGTCTCTCCCTGGTCTCTCTCTGGTCTCTCTCTCTGGTCTCTCTCTGGTCTCTCTCTGGTCTCTCTCTGGTCTCTCCCTGGTCTCTCCCTGGTCTCTCTCTGATCTCTCTCTGGTCTCTCTGCCTGGTCTCTCTCTGGTCTCTCTCTGGTCTCTCTCTGGTCCCTCTCTGGTCCCTCTCTGGTCTCTCTCTGGCCTCTCTCTGGTCTCTGTCTGGTCTCTCTCTGGTCTCTCTCTGGTCTCTCTGCTTGGTCTCTCCCTGGTCTCTCTCTGGTCTCTCTCTGGTCCCTCTCTGGTCCCTCTCTGGTCTCTCTCTGGCCTCTTTCTGGTCTCTGTCTGGTCTCTCTCTGGTCTCTCTCTGGTCTCTCTCTGGTCTCTCCCTGGTCTCTCTCTGGTCTCTCCCTGGTCTCTCTCTGGTCTCTCTCTGGTCTCTCCCTGGTCTCTCTCTGGTCTCTCTCTTGTCTCTCTCTGGCCTCTTTCTGGTCTCTGTCTGGTCTCTCTCTGGTCTCTCCCTGGTCTCTCTCTGGTCTCTCCCTGGTCTCTCTCTGGTCTCTCTCTGGTCTCTCTCTGGTCTCTCTCTGGTCTCTCTCTGGTCTCTCCCTGGTCTCTCTCTGGTCTCTCTCTGGTCTCTCTCTGGTCTCTCTCTGGACTCTCTCTGGTCTCTCTGCCTGGTCTCTCTCTGGTCTCTCTGCTTGGTCTCTCCCTGGTCTCTCTCTGATCTCTCTCTGGTCTCTCTGCCTGGTCTCTCTCTGGTCTCTCTCTGGTCTCTCTCTGGTCTCTCTCTGGTCTCTCTCTGGTCTCTCTCTGGCCTCTCTCTGGTCTCTGTCTGGTCTCTCTCTGGTCTCTCTCTGGTCTCTCCCTGGTCTCTCTCTGGTCTCTCCCTGGTCTCTCTCTGGTCTCTCTCTGGTCTCTCTCTGGTCTCTCTCTGGTCTCTCTCTGGTCTCTCTCTGGTCTCTCTCTGGTCTCTCTCTGGTCTCTCTCTGGTCTCTCTCTGGTCTCTCTCTGGTCTCTCTCTGGTCTCTCTCTGGTCTCTCTCTGCCAGTCCATGTGCTCTTTCTGCTTCACTAACATAACACGCCGATGTCACTCTGGTTGTAAATCCGGGAATCTCTCAAATCGCTGCCACCTGCTGAAAAACATTTTAAAAAACCAGGACTAAAGCACAAGCTGTTCCTGTAAAAATGACAGTGTTTTTCTGAGGTGAAGTGCTCAGTGGTAGAGAGCCAAAACACATTAGCATCAGTCTGAAGGTCAGTGTGGCTCATTATCCTGATGAGTCCTGCAGAGTGATGGACAAACATATGGTCCCTGTGCTACTCTGCTGACACGCTGGTACATTAACGCTCCGCTCTGTTTATGGTGCGTGCTTAAGCTAACCCCACCTCCCACACACGGGCTGCGCTCCCACAACCTCCTGTACGCTCTCAAGGTCAACCTTCACCTTCTGCGGTCTCCATGTTTCAGGATTTATTGGCATGTATTTTTGTTTTTTCAATTTGTTTATTCCAACAACACTCTCTGGTCTCTCTGGTCTCTCTCTGGTCTCTCTCTGGTCTCTCTGGTCTCTCTCTGGTCTCTCTCTGGTCTCTCTGGTCTCTCTCTGGTCTGTTTCTGGTCTCTCTCTGGTCCCTCTCTGGTCTCTCTCTGGTCTGTCTCTGGTCTCTCTCTGGTCTCTCTCTGGTCTCTCTTTGGTCCCTCTGGGTCTCTCTCTGGTCTCTCTCTGGTCTCTCTCTGGCCTCTCTCTCGTCTCGCTCTGGTCTATGGTCTCTCTCTGGTCTCTCTCTCTGGTCTCTGGCTGGTCTCTCTCTGGTCTCTCTCTTGGGTCTCTCTCTAGTCTCTCTCTGGTCTCTCTCTGGTCTCTCTCTATGGTCTCTCTCTGGTCTCTCTCTGGTCTCTCTCTGGTTTCTCTCTGGTCTCTCTCTGGTCTGTCTCTGGTGTCCTTCTAGTCTCACTCTGGTCTCTCTTTGGTCTCTCTGGTCTCTCTCTGGCCTCTCTCTGGTCTCTCTCTCTGGTCTCTGGCTGGTCTCTCTCTGGTCTCTCTCTTGGGTCTCTCTCTAGTCTCTCTCTGGTCTCTCTCTGGTCTCTCTTTCTGGTCTCTCTCTGGTCTCTCCCTGGTTTCTCTCCCTGGTCTCTCTCTGGTCTCTCTCTGGTCTCTCTCTAGTCTCTCTCTGGTCTCTCTCTGGTCTCTCCATAGTGCAAGTGAGCCATGTTTTGTGTGGACTGGAAATAAGGCTTTGGATATACAGATTGTACAGACCAGGGACCAGACACCAGAGAAAGGGACCCTCTAGTCTCTCTAGAGACTAGAAGGACCAGAGAGAGACCTGAAAGAGACCAGAGAAAAACCAGAGAGAGACCAGAGAGACACCAGAGAGAGACCAGAGAGAGGCCAGAGAGAGACCAGAGAGAGACCAGAGAGAGGCCAGAGAGACACCAGAGAGAGACCAGAGAGAGGCCAGAGAGAGACCAGAGAGAGACCAGAGAGAGACCAGAGAGAGAGACCATAGACCAGAGTGAGACGAGAGAGAGACCAGAGAGAGTCCAGAGAGAGACCAGAGAGAGACCAGAGAGAGAGAGAGAGAGAGACCATAGACCAGAGCGAGACGAGAGAGAGACCAGAGAGAGGTCAAAGAGAGACAAGAGAGACCAGAGATAGACCTGAAAGAGACCAGAGAAAAACCAGAGAGAGACCAGAGAGACACCAGAGAGAGACCAGAGAGAGGCCAGAGAGAGGCCAGAGAGACCAGAGAGAGACCAGAGAGAGACCAGAGAGAGACCAGAGAGAGAGAGACCATAGACCAGAGCGAGACGAGAGAGAGACCAGAGAGAGGTCAAAGAGAGACAAGAGAGACCAGAGATAGACCAGAGAGAGTGAGACCAGAGAGAGACCAGAGAGAGACCAGAGAGAGGCCAGAGAGAGACCAGAGAGAGACCAGAGAGAGACCATAGAGAGGCCAGAGAGTCTTATGCAGATTTGGAAACAGAGAAATTGAAAATAAATGTAAATTGGATTTCAGGACCGGGAGGCAGAGGAGGCAGAGGAGGCAGAGGAGGTAGAAGTGGGAGAGGAGGCAGAGGAGGCAGAGGAGGTAGAGGAGGCAGAGGAGGCAGAGGAGACAGAGGAGGCAGAGGAGGCAGAGGAGGCAGAGGAGGTAGAGGAGGCACAGGAGGCAGAGGAGGCAGAGGAGACAGAGGAGACAGAGGAGGCAGAGGAGGCAGAGGAGGCACAGGAGGCAGAGGAGGTAGAGGAGGCAGAGGAGGTATAGGAGGTAGAGGAGGCAGAGGAGGCAGAGGAGCTAGAGGTGGGAGAGGAGGCAGAGGAGGCAGAGGAGGCAGAGGAGGTAGAGGAGGCACAGGAGGCACAGGAGGCAGAGGAGACAGAGGAGGTAGAGGAGGCAGAGGAGGCACAGGAGACAGAGAAGGCAGAGGAGACAGAGGAGGCAGAGGAGGCACAGGAGGCAGAGGAGGCAGAGGAGGCAGAGGAGCTAGAGGTGGGAGAGGAGGCAGAGGAGGCAGAGGAGGTAGAGGAGGCACAGGAGGCACAGGAGGCAGAGGAGACAGAGGAGGTAGAGGAGGCAGAGGAGGCACAGGAGACAGAGGAGGCAGAGGAGACAGAGGAGGCAGAGGAGGCAGAGGAGGCAGAGGAGCTAGAGGTGGGAGAGGAGGCAGAGGAGGCAGAGGAGGCAGAGGAGTCAGAGGAGGCAGAGGAGGCACAGGAGGCAGAGGAGGCAGAGGATACAGAGGAGGTAGAGGAGGCAGAGGAGGCACAGGAGACAGAGGAGGCAGAGGAGACAGAGGAGGCAGAGGAGGCAGAGGAGGCAGAGGAAGCATAGGAGGCAGAGGAGGTAGAGGTGGGAGAGGAGGCAGAGGAGCAGAGGAGGTAGAGGAGGCAGAGGAGGTAGAGGAGGTAAAGGAGGCAGAGGAGGCAGAGGAGACAGAGGAGGCAGAGGAGGCAGAGGAGACAGAGGAGGTAGAGGAGGCAGAGGAGGCAGAGGAGGCAGAGGAGGCATAGGAGACAGAGGAGGCAGAGGAGGCAGAGGAGGCAGAGGAGACAGAGGAGGCAGAGGAGGCAGAGGAGGCAGAGGAGGCAGAAGAGGCAGAGGACACAGAGGAGGCAGAGGAGGCAGAGGAGGCAGAGGAGGCAGAGGAGGCACAGGAGGCAGAGGAGACAGAGGAGGTAGAGGAGGCAGAGGAGGCAGAGGAGACAGAGGAGGTAGAGGAGGCAGAGGAGGCAGAGGAGGTAGAGGTGGGAGAGGAGGCAGAGGAGGTAGAGGAGGCAGAGGAGGTAGAGGAGGTAGAGGAGGCAGAGGAGGCAGAGGAGAGCAGAGGAGGCAGAGGAGGCAGAGGAGGCAGAGGCAGAGGACAGAGGAGGCAGAGGAGGCAGAGGAGGCACAGGAGGCAGAGGAGACAGAGGAGCCAGAGGAGGTAGAGGAGGCAGAGGAGACAGAGGAGGTAGAGGAGGCAGAGGACACAGAGGAGGCAGAGGAGGCAGAGGAGGCAGAGGAGGCACAGGAGGCAGAGGAGACAGAGGAGGTAGAGGAGGCAGAGGAGGCAGAGGAGACAGAGGAGACAGAGGAGGTAGAGGAGGCAGAGGAGACAGAGGAGACAGAGGAGGTAGAGGAGGCAGAGGAGGCAGAGGAGGTAGAGGTGGGAGAGGAGGCAGAGGAGGCAGAGGAGGTAGAGGAGGCAGAGGAGGTAGAGGAGGTAGAGGAGGCAGAGGAGACAGAGGAGGTAGAGGAGGCAGAGGACACAGAGGAGGCAGAGGAGGCAGAGGAGGCAGAGGAGACACAGGAGGCAGAGGAGACAGAGGAGGTAGAGGAGGCAGAGGAGGCAGAGGAGACAGAGGAGACAGAGGAGGTAGAGGAGGCAGAGGAGACAGAGGAGACAGAGGAGGGAGAGGAGGCAGAGGAGGTAGAGGTGGGAGAGGAGGCAGAGGAGGCAGAGGAGGTAGAGGAGGCAGAGGAGGTAGAGGAGGTAAAGGAGGCAGAGGAGGCAGAGGAGACAGAGGAGGCAGAGGAGGCAGAGGAGGCAGAGGAGACAGAGGAGGCAGAGGAGGCAGAGGAGGCACAGGAGGCAGAGGAGACAGAGGAGCCAGAGGAGGTAGAGGAGGCAGAGGAGACAGAGGAGGTAGAGGAGGCAGAGGAGACAGAGGAGGTAGAGGAGGTAGAGGAGGCAGAGGAGGCAGAGGAGGCAGAGGAGGCAGAGGAGACAGAGGAGGCAGCGGAGACAGAGGAGGCAGAGGAGGTAGAGGAGGCAGAGGAGGCAGAGGAGGCAGAGGAGGCACAGGAGGCAGAGGAGACAGAGGAGCCAGAGGAGGTAGAGGAGGCAGAGGAGGCAGAGGAGACAGAGGAGGTAGAGGAGGCAGAGGAGGCAGAGGAGGTAGAGGTGGGAGAGGAGGCAGAGGAGGCAGAGGAGGCAGAGGAGGTAGAGGAGGCAGAGGAGGCAGAGGAGGCAGAGGAGGCAGAGGAGACAGAGGAGGCAGAGGAGGCAGAGGAGGCAGAGGAGGCAGAGGAGGCAGAGGAGGCAGAGGAGACAGAGGAGGCAGCGGAGACAGAGGAGGCACAGGAGGCAGAGGAGGCAGAGGAGGCAGATGAGGCAGAGGAGGCAGAGGAGGCACAGGAGGCAGAGGAGACAGAGGAGCCAGAGGAGGTAGAGGAGGCAGAGGAGACAGAGGAGGTAGAGGAGGCAGCGGAGACAGAGGAGGCACAGGAGGCAGAGGAGGCAGAGGAGGCAGAGGAGGCAGATGAGGCAGAGGAGGCAGAGGAGGCACAGGAGGCAGAGGAGACAGAGGAGCCAGAGGAGGTAGAGGAGGCAGAGGAGACAGAGGAGGTAGAGGAGGCAGAGGAGACAGAGGAGGTAGAGGAGGTAGAGGAGGCAGAGGAGGCAGAGGAGGCAGAGGAGACAGAGGAGGCAGAGGAGGCAGAGGAGGCAGAGGAGGCACAGGAGGCAGAGGAGGCAGAGGAGGCAGAGGAGACAGAGGAGACAGAGGAGGCAGAGGAGACAGAGGAGGCAGAGGAGGCAGAGGAGGCAGAGGAGGCAGAGGAGGCAGAGGAGACAGAGGAGACAGAGGAGGCAGAGGAGACAGAGGAGGCAGAGGAGGCAGAGGAGGCAGAGGGAGGCAGAGGAGGCCGTGGGAGCGTCTGACAAACACGAAGCAGAAAGGGCAGATTCACAGCAGAGCAGAGCTGTCCCAGGACCTCCCCCACACCTCACCCCCACAGGTGCTGCTGTCACATGAATCCAACCTACTGTGAACGGTAGAAACATCAGAGAATATCGAAAAGCGTCACGAGCAATTTTCATGGATGTATTTTTGTAAGGGGAGGGCTTACTGTGGCTCTAGGTTTCCTCCGGGCGCTCCGGTTCCCACCACCCAGGACCAAGCATTATGTATGTGTATGTGCATTTCTTTCATTTAGCAGATATGAAGGAAAAGTGAAAGATATATTCATTAGGTATTAAACTTTACGTTCCTGGTTTTTGCGGAGAATGGATGTAGTATTTGTGAAGTTGATTTTGTGACGGTCTGAAAGGATGTGGAGCTGAATGAACTGAGATCACCAACGCTTCTCAATCCGAGGTGAGCGTATTCATACATCTGAGTGCAGTGATGTAAGAATTCTGGTTTTTCAGGCTTCGAACGAAAACAAAAGTTTCTGAACCAGTCTCTGTGGCGCTGTCCCTGGTGCTGAAGGTCATGGAGGCTGTAGACCCAGGACTGAGGCTGTAGATCCAGGACTGAGGCTGTAGACCCAGGATTGAGGCTGTAGACCCAGGACTGAGGCTGTAAACCCAGGACCGAGGCTGTAGACCCAGGACCGAGGCTGTAGATCCAGGACTGAGGCGGCTGTAGACCCAGGACTGAGGCTGTACACCCAGGACTGAGGCGGCTGTAGACCCAGGACTGAGGCTGTAGATCCAGGACTGAGGATGTAGATCCAGGACTGAGGCGGCTGTAGACCCAGGACTGAGGCTGTAGACCCAGGACTGAGGCGGCTGTAGACCCAGGACTGAGGCTGTAGATCCAGGACTGAGGCTGTAGACCCAGGACTGAGGCTGTAGACCCAGGACTGAGGCTGTAGACCCAGGACCGAGGCTGTAGACCCAGGACTGAGGCTGTAGACCCAGGACTGAGGCTGTAGACCCAGGACTGAGGCTGTAGATCCAGGACCGAGGCTGTAGACCCAGGACTGAGGCTGTAGACCCAGGACTGAGGCTGTAGATCCAGGACTGAGGCTGTAGATCCAGGACTGAAGCTGTAGACCCAGGACTGAGGCTGTAGATCCAGGACTGAGGCTGTAGATCCAGGACTGAGGCGGTAGACCCAGGACTGAGGCTGTAGACCCAGGACTGAGGCGGCTGTAGACCCAGGACTGAGGCTTTAGATCCAGGACTGAGGCTGTAGACCCAGGACTGAGGCTGTAGACCCAGGACTGAGGCTGTAGACCCAGGACTGAGGCGGCTGTAGACCCAGGACTGAGGCTTTAGATCCAGGACTGAGGCTGTAGATCCAGGACTGAGGCTGTAGATCCAGGACTGAGGCTGTAGATCCAGGACTGAGGCTGTAGACCCAGGACTGAGGCTGTAGACCCAGGACTGAGGCTGTAGACCCAGGACTGAGGCTGTAGACCCAGGACTGAGGCGGCTGTAGACCCAGGACTGAGGCTTTAGATCCAGGACTGAGGCTGTAGACCCAGGACTGAGGCTGTAGACCCAGGACTGAGGCTGTGGATCCAGGACTGAGGCTGTAGATCCAGGACTGAGGCTGTAGACCCAGGACTGAGGCTGTAGACCCAGGACTGAGGCTGTAGATCCAGGACTGAGGCAGTAGATCCAGGACTGAGGCTGTAGACCCAGGACTGAGGCTGTAGACCCATGACTGAGGCTGTAGACCCAGGACTGAGGCGGCTGTAGACCCAGGACTGAGGCGGCTGTAGACCCAGGACTGAGGCGGCTGTAGACCCAGGACTGAGGTGGCTGTAGACCCAGGACTGAGGCGGCTGTAGACCCAGGACTGAGGCTGTAGACCCAGGACTGAGGCGGCTGTAGACCCAGGACTGAGGCGGCTGTAGACCCAGGACTGAGGCTGTAGATCCAGGACTGAGGCTGTAGATCCAGGACTGAGGCTGTAGACCCAGGACTGAGGCTGTAGACCCAGGACTGAGGCGGCTGTAGACCCAGGACTGAGGCGGCTGTAGACCCAGGACTGAGGCTGAGTTGATCACTGATTTCAAACCTTTCTCTTTTCTTCCGTTGCAGGTGGTGAGTGACATGTGGCGCAGTCGCAGTCGCCCTGGGGCAACAATCTGATCTGAAATTTTAATTAAAGTCGACATTTGCCCAACGGAGCGCAGTCCTCTGGAGAACAGTGCAGAGTCAGGCCGGTGCAGAAATCTCAGAATAAAAGAAAAATAATCAAAAATCTTTGCTTTTCTGTAGTGACTAGAACGACACCGAACAAAAAAGTAACGTAAAAATATGTGTTGTTTGTGTTTATGGTTTTTCCATGGTTTTTACAATAATGAAAATATGGAGTTTTCTTTTTGCAGAAACTTAAAGAATTCAGCACAAACTCCAAGATTCTGATTCACTTTTATCACTGCAGCTTTGGTTCTGTGACTGTGTGACATGACAACCAAAGAGAGAGACCAGAGAGAGACCAGAGAGAGAGACCAGAGAGAGAGACCAGAGAGAGACCAGAGAGAGAAACCAGAGAGAGAGAGAGACCAGAGAGAGACCCGAGAAAGAGAAACCAGAGAGAGAGACCAGAGAGAGACCAGAGAGAGACCTGAGAGAGAGACCAGAAAGAGACCAGAGAGAGACTAGAGAGGGATCAGAGAGAGAGACCAGAAAGAGACCAGAGAGAGACTAGAGAGAGACCAGAGAGAGAGACCAGAGAGAAACCAGAGAGAGACCAGAGAGGGACCAGAGAGAGACCAGAGAGAGAGACCAGAGAGAGACCAGAGAGACACCAGAGAGAGACCAGAGAGAGACCAGAGAGGGACCAGAGAGAGACCAGATAGAGACCAGAGAGAGACTAGAGAGGGACCAGAGAGAGAGACCAGAGAGAGACCTGAGAGATAGACCAGAAAGAGACCAGAGAGAGACTAGAGAGGGACCAGAGAGAGACCAGACAGAGACCAGAGAGAGACCAGAGAGAGACCAGAGAGAGACCTGAGAGAGACCACAGAGAGAGACCAGAGAGAGACCAAAGAGAGACCAAATCTGCAATATAAATCCAAAACAAACACATCAGCAGATCATCTCTGATCAAACCGTCAGAAATTATTAAAAATTCATATAAAAACCACTCGTTTCAAACCAGTACTAACCTCATATTTATCAGTTTTTCATGGTAAACGTTTCCAGCCGTTTGTGTGTGACATCACTCTGCTCCGTCTGAGAGAAACCGCTGCCAGGTCTCCGTGTTCAGACAGAGTTCAGATGTGGTGAAGGAGGCGCAGCAGTGTCAGTGTCTGCTCCTCCTCGGGCTGTGCAGAAGGTGAGGTCACACATGAGTTTGTCTGTTTGCTCCGATGACCCACAGAAGAGAGCCGAGATACGAGACGAGATTGTGTGGGAGGATCTCGAGGAGGAGAGGGAGAGGTTTGAGCAGTTATTGGGAAAAATCACAGGAAGAAAAGAGTGAAGAGAATTCCATTTGTGTAAAGGCTCTCTCTGGTCTCTCTCTCGTCTCTCTCTGGTCTCCCTCTGGTCTCTCTCTGGCCTCTCTCTGGTCTCTCTCTCGTCTCTCTCTGGTCTCTCTCTGGTCTCTCTCTGGTCTCTCTCTGGTCTCTCTCTGGTCTCTCTCTCTTCTCTCTCTGGTCTCCCTCTGGTCTCTCTCTGGCCTGTCTCTCTCTCGTCTCTCTCTGGTCTCCCTCTGGTCTCCCTCTGGTCTCTCTCTGGTCTCCCTCTGGTCTCTCTCTGGTTTCTCTCTGGTCTCTCTCTGGTCTCTCTCTGGTCTCTCTCTGGTCTCTCTCTGGTCTCTCTTTGGTCTCTCTCTGGTCTCTCTCTGGTCTCTCTCCCTGGTCTCTCTCTGGTCTCTCTCTGGTCTCTCTCCCTGGTCTCTCTCTGATGCCTCTCTGGTCTCTCTGGTATCTCTTTGGTTTCTCTCTTGTTTCTCTCTGGCCTCTCTCTGGTCTCTCCTGGTCTTGGTTCCTGGTCTTGGTTCCTGCAGACTAACAGACTTACAGCTGGAATGCTAATCTGCGGCTTTGTGTCCAGGCTCTTTTATTCAAATCTTCTTCCCGACGATAAGCGCAGTTGTGTTGGCGCCTCGGAGCAGCAGGAGCGAGAGGCTTTGGCGGCGGATCCCCTGACTCTGACTTTAAATCGTTACTAAAACCTGAGGCTAGCGACGCGGGTCTGTGTTAGCCTCCCACACACTCTGCAGCCTTCGATATGGACGATATATGTGAGGAGAGGACTGAACCAGGACTGAGACCAGAGGGAGACCAGAGAGAGGCCAGATAGAGAGCAGAGAGGGACCAGAGAGAGACCAGAGAGGAGACCAGAGAGAGGCCAGAGAGAGGCCAGAGAGAGGCCAGAGAGAGGCCAGAGAGAGACCAGAGAGAGAGACCAGAGAGAGACCAGAGAGAGAGGCCAGAGAGAGAACCAGAGAGAGACCAGAGAGAGACCATAGAGAGGCCAGAGAGAGACCAGAGAGAGACCATAGAGAGGCCAGAGAGAGACCAGAGAGAGACCAGAGAGAGAGACCAGAGAGAGACCAGAGAGAGACCAGAGAGAGACCGGAGAGAGACCCTCTCTTGCTCCAGTGCCTCCCATGTGTTTGTTATCATTGCCATCCCTGTCTTTGAACTGATTGATTCTCTGATCTGCTGTTTGTGAATCAACAACTCTGTAAATCCTGCAGCGGTGATTCAGGGCGATACAGCGGCAGTAATGCAGTAATATTTTGCAAATCCAATCTTTTTTTCACCTTTTTGACTCATTCGTAACAAAAGAGAGTCCGAGGGAAAAGACAAATTGAATGTTTTTAAACGTGAAGAAGAGTCGAGGTTTTGTGAGAAAGTTATAAATGAGGTGGAGTTAAAAAGCGTTGGAGCTGATGGTGTTGAAGACGAGAGAAATATCTCACTCAATATTTACTCAATCTGAGTCTGAGAGAAGCTGAGGCAGCGAGATCCAGACTCCAGTGCTGGAAGAAGTGTTTGTGTGTGTGTCTGTGTGTCTGTGTGTGCATGTGTGTGGGTGTGTGTGTGTGTATGTCTGTGTTTGTGTATGTGTGTGCGTGTGTCAGTGTACACTACTCTACTCTACACTAATCTACATTAGTACTTGCCCTTGTAAAGTAGAGTAGAGTGGAGCAGAGTAGAGCAGAGCAGAGCAGAGCAGGGTAGAGTAGAGTAGAGTAGAGTAGAGTAGAGTAGAGCAGAGCAGAGCAGAGCAGAGCAGGGTAGAGTAGAGTAGAGTAGAGTAGAGTAGAGTAGAGTAGAGTAGAGTAGAGTAGAGCAGAGCAGAGCAGGGTAGAGTAGAGTAGAGTAGAGTAGAGTAGAGTAGAGTAGAGTAGAGTAGAGTAGAGCAGGGCAGGGCAGGGCAGAGTAGAGTAGAGTAGAGTAGAGTAGAGTAGAGTAGAGTAGAGTAGAGTAGAGTAGAGTAGAGTAGAGTAGAGTAGAGTAGAGTAGAGTAGAGTAGAGCAGAGTAGAGTAGGTACAGACTTTCTCTTCTTTCAGATCCAGTTCTTTCTAAAAATACTTCCTCCTCTTCATACTTTTCAGAAGCTGAGTCTGTCTCATTAAACAGTCAAGAGTGCTTCAGGAGGTGAGGAGGAGGTGAGGAGGAGGTGAGGAGGAGGTGAGGAGGAGGCGAGGAGGAGGTGAGGAGGAGGTGAGGAGGAGGTGAGGAGGAGGTGAGGAGGAGGTGAGGAGGAGGTGAGGAGGAGGTGAGGAGGAGGTGAGGAGGAGGTGAGGTCACATGATCATGGGTCTGGGTCTGGGTCTGGGACTTGAAATTGTCGACAAACTCAAACATTCACAAAGACCGAGAATGTGACAAAGAGAAACAGGATCCTCCACTTGGTTCTCCTCGACTGCTTCTGCCTGTCACGCTCTGTCCTCTCTCCTCCTCTCTCTCTCTCTCTCTCTCTCTCCCTCCCTCCTTCCACTCTCTCTCTTTCTCCCTTATGCTCACTCACTCTAAGCTCAGGCTCCTCACTGGCCTCTCCCCTCTCTCTCTCCCTCCCCTTCTCTCTCCCCTCCCCTTCTCTCTCCCCTCCCCTCTCTCTCTCCCCCTCTCTCCCTTCCTTTCTCTCTCTCCTCTCTTCACTGGCCTCCCCTACCTCTCTCTCCCCACTCCTCTCTCTCTCTCCCCTCTCCCCCCTCCTCTCACCCCTCTCCTCCCACTCCCCCTCCTCTCACCCCTCCTCACAGTGGCAGTCTGTCCCAGGAGCAGGATCAGTCCTGGCTGTGGCGGGTGAGAGGTGGTGTCAGGGCCGCTCTCCCACCGCTGTTATCACGCCTCAGATTCTCACCGTCTCGCTCCCGACAGACCACGACCGGCAGAGAGCGATGAGGCGAGGAGAGAGGGAGCAGGACCACGAGCGGCAGAGAGAGAGGAGGCGAGGAGAGAGGGAGCAGGACCACGACCGGCAGAGAGGAAGGAGGCGAGGAGAGAGGGAGCAGGACCACGACTGGCAGAGAGCGATGAGGCGAGGGAGAGAGGGAGCAGGACCACGAGCGGCAGAGAGAGAGGAGGCGAGGAGAGAGGGAGCAGGACCACGAGCGGCAGAGAGAGAGGAGGCGAGGAGAGAGGGAGCAGGACCACGAGCGGCAGAGAGAGAGGAGGCGAGGAGAGAGGGAGCAGGACCACGAGCGGCAGAGAGAGAGGAGGCAAGGAGAGAGGGAGCAGGACCACGAGCGGCAGAGAGAGAGGAGGCGAGGAGAGAGGGAGCAGGACCACGAGCGGCAGAGAGAGAGGAGGCAAGGAGGCAAGGCAAGGCAAGGCAAGGCAAGTTTATTTGTATAGCACAATTCATACACAAGGCAACTCAAAGTGCTGAACAAGATAGCATTAAAATCATAAATAATTACAGAACATTAAAACGAAAGATAAAAATATAAAATCCCTCAGTTGTATGCACAGCTAAACAGCACCGTTTTTAACCTGGTTTTAAACATTGTCAGAGAGGAGGCCTGTCTCACATCTTCAGGAAGATTGTTCCAGATTTTAGCAGCATGAATCTGAAAAGCAGCCTCCCCATGTTTAGTTCTGACTCTGGGCACTAACAGGAGTCCAGTCCCTGTGCTCCTCAGAGTCCGGGCTGGTTCATATGGGACTAACATGTCACTAATATATTTTGGTGCGAGGCCATGGAGAGATTTGTACACAAGCAGAGCTGTTTTAAAGTCTATTCTCTGAGCCACAGGAAGCCAGTGCAGGGACCTGAGGACCGGACTAATGTGGTCGTACTTCCTGGTTCTAGTCAGGACTCGAGCTGCTGCATTTTGAATGTACTGCAGCTGTTTTACAGCCTGTTTGGACAGACCTGTGAGCAGGCCATTGCAGTAGTCTAACCTACTGGAGACAAATGCATGGATAAGAATCTCCAAGTCTGCTTTAGACACTATGTTTTTGATCCTGGCAATGTTTTTTAGATGGTAAAAAGCTGCTGATGTTACTGATTTGATGTGGCTATTAAAATTTAAGTCTGAGTCCAGTATTACCCCTAGATTTCTGACCTTGTTTGAAGGTTTTAGGGAGAGAGACTGTAGGTGACAGATGACGCTCTCTCTTTGTTTCTGGGGACCAAAGACAATCATTTCAGTTTTGTCTGCGTTTAGCTGAAGGAAGTTGTTTTGCATCCACTCACTGATCTGTTGGATACAGTGAAGGAGTGAGTCCACTGGTCCATGTTCTCCTGCAGTCAGTGAGACATAGATCTGAGTGTCGTCTGCATAGTTATGATAGGAAACTTTGTTTCTGCGTATTAACTGACCTAACGGCAGCATGTAGAGATTGAACAGAAGAGGTCCCAGGATCGACCCCTGTGGTACTCCACAGGTCAGGGCCATATGATCTGAGACACAGTTTCCAATCTCCACAAAGTACTTCCTGTCTTCAAGGTAAGACCTAAACCAACTTAGGGCGGTGCCAGCGACGCCAACCCAGTCCTCTAGTCTCTGTAAGAGGATCTCATGGTCGACAGTATCAAAGGCAGCACTTAGATCTAACAGGATTAGGATTGAGACTTTGCCTGCGTCAGTGTTCAGCCGGATATCGTTTGTAACCTTAACGAGAGCAGTCTCAGTGCTGTGGTGGGGTCTAAAGCCGGACTGAAACATATCAAATGAGTTGTTGATTATAAGAAATCTAGTAAGCTGTAGGTAGACAACTTTCTCAAGGACTTTCCCCATAAATGGCAGATTTGAGATGGGACGATAGTTGTTAAGTACCGTAGCATCCAGACTGCTCTTTTTTAGCAGGGGCCTGATGACTGCAGTTTTCAGGGCCTTTGGGAATATTCCAGAATCAAGGGACATGTTTACTATCTGTGTGAGTGAAGGTAACAGACTGCTCAGAACAGACTTTAGAAATCTAGTGGGTAGTACATCCAGGCTGCATGTGGAGGAGCTCAAACTGGAGATTATCTCTTGGACAGTTTGATCATTTACAGGTGCAAAGTAAGTTAGCTCAAAGAGCCTTTCTGGCTGTTGGATTGTTATCTGTGGATTGGAGACAATGGCGTTTTTGATGCCTTGAACCTTGTCATTGAAAAAATGTGCAAACTCATTACATTTACGTTTGGAAGTTAGCTCTAATGGCATTTGAACAGGGGGGTTTGTTAATCTATTAACTGTTGAAAACAGAACACGCAGATTGTTGCTGCAGCCTTCAATCATTTCAGAAAAATACCTTTCTCTTGTACTACGTAGCACCTGGTTAAACTCGCACAACTTATCTTTGAAGATCTTGTAATCAACCTGGAGGTTGGACTTGCGCCACTTCCGCTCGGCCCTCCGGCACTCTCTCTTTTGTGCTCTGACCGAGTCTGCTTTAGCCCACGGCGCCTTCTGCTTATTTTTCACTATTTTAACCTTCACAGGAGCGATGGTGTCCAGAACTTTCAAAACACTAGAGGTGACAGAGTTAAACAGTTCATCTACAGTAGAATACGATGCATTCTCAAAGTTTATCATTCCCATAAATAGTTCACCCGTATTTTCATTTATGTGTCTTCTTCGTACAGTTGCAGAGTCCACTGGTGGTTTGTTAGTGAAACACATGTCAAAAAATATACAAAAATGATCCGAAAGCGCAACATCGACCACGTTTACATTATATATGTTCGCCCCCTTTGTAACTAACAGGTCTAGAGTGTGCCCTTTGCTGTGGGTGGGGCCACTCACATGCTGAGTGAGACCAAAAGATTCAAGAAGAGAACTCAGCTCTTTAGCATTTCTGTCATCAACATTATCCACATGAATATTAAAATCACCTGTAATAACTAAACTATCAAAATCTGTGCATACAACTGAAAGCAACTCTGTAAAATTATCAATAAAACTGTGACATGACTGCGGTGGCTTGTATAGGACAACGAAAAGTATTGGAGGAGATTGTTTTTGTTGTATTTTAAAAGACACATATTCAAAAGACGGAAACTTCCCAAGAGACATTCTATGGGAGACAAAGTGGTCTCTGAAAATGGCAGCTAAGCCTCCTCCTTTTTTGTTTTCCCGTATTTCAGATTCAAATTTGAAATTTGGTGGTGATGCTTCTATTAAAACTGCATTTTCTGTATTTTGGTCAAGCCATGTTTCAGCCATGAACATAAGATCTAGATTATAAGAACAAATAAAATTATTGATTAAAAAAGACTTGTTACAAAGAGATCTGACATTTAGCATAGCAAGTTTCAAAGTTTCAGGATCAGCGGTTGTGGTCGGCTGATTCTTACACGGAACAAGAATTAGATTTTCATGATTAGACTGATTAACTCCAGATGTTTTTCTGTTATGTATTCTTTGTGTTATCACTAAGGGAATGGCACAGGTGGCTTCACGACAGGGCCCCAGCCGGGTCTCTCCTCTAACTAGACTGCCAGTGGCTGCGAAGCAGAGACCCTGTGCATCCTAGTGTTTAGAGAAAAGAGGGGTAGGGGAAGGCGGGGGAGGAGGATGGAGAGGCGGGTGGTTCTTGGGAGTTGGACGGGGAGGGGTTGAAGGTGGATGGGTTTTTGGTGATGGGTTAGGGGAGGGGCAGGCTGAGTTGGGTGGTGGACGAGGGGGGAGTGGAGGTGGAGGGTTTCTTGGTGCTGAGTTAGGGGGGGGGAGGGGGGCTAAATGAGCAGGAGGGGGGGGGTGGAATACTTATGGGGTTAGAGGAGGGACGGGTGGATTTTGTGGGAGAATTTGAGTTGGACGCCCTAGGTGGCTTTGGAGGTACGTATGGGGAGTAGTTTTGAATGTTAGATAGGACTCTTGATCTGGCTACAGTGGGTGTGAGAGGAATAGTCTTCATCGCCGATCTTATCATGCCTGCAGAGTGTTCCGGTAAATCCAGTAGTGAAGGCGGGGATAGAAAACAAAGGGAAAGGTCGTCCTCATTTTCCCTAGATGGAGTGGATGTAGCGGGGGGGACCCAAGCCGGGTCCATGGAAGGTGATGAGGGAGTCTTTGGTGGAGACAGAGGTGGTTGAGGAACCCCCAGTACAGGCCTGACTGTAGCCTGGAGTAATGGGGGAAGCTTCACGGGAGCTGTAGGTGGGGAAGGTGCTGCTGAAGATGATGGAGCAGCCACTGCTGCTGCTGTATCCACTGCTGCTGCTGAAGATGATGGAGCAGCCACTGCTGCTGCTGAAGATGATGGAGCAGCCACTGCTGCTGCTGTATCCACTGCTGCTGCTGAAGATGATGGAGCAGCCACTGCTGCTGCTGAAGATGATGGAGCAGCCACTGCTGCGGCTGTATCCACTGCTGCTGCTGAAGATGATGGAGCAGCCACTGCTGCGGCTGTAACCACTGCTGCTGGTGGTGCTGTATATGCTGATGGCGCTGATGAAGATGTGGCAGCTGCTGATGATGCTGGGGGTGGAGGCGTTGAGCTCTTTCGAAGCCGTGGAGGTGTTGAGTTCTTTTGGAACCTTGGAGGTGTTGAGTTCTTAGGTGTGGAGTTCTTTTGAGGCGAGAGGGAGCAGGACCACGAGCGGCAGAGAGAGAACAGGACTGCTCCTCCATCCTGCACAGGCCACAGAGTCACTGAGAGGACTGCAGCAGAGGAGTCCTGTCTGAGGGAGGTTTAACTAAACTGTCTTGGGACTGGGAGAGGTTAGCGTTATGGTGCGTTCAGACCAAACGCGATTTCTGCGGCCAAAGCGGCGGGTCTACATTGACACAACATGGGGGACGCGCGCCAAGGAGCGGCGAGAGATCACGCGGCGCGATTCGCGCGGCCAGAGCGGCGCGAATTTGAGCGTTTCGCGCGGCGTGTTTTGAGATGTCAAGCGTTTTGACGGGCGTTTCGCGCGATTCGTGCCTCCAACGCGGCCGCCGCTAGAGTTGAACAATGTTGAACTTTTTGGGAGAATTCGCGTGTGCCGACCAATCAGGAGCTTTCTCCTCCAGTGACGTAGTGACGCATTTCACTACCGGGAAAACACTAGTAGATGACAGCTATGGAGGACACATTAATTGCTCAGGTCGGTGCTCATTCTGAGCTATACAACACTGCAGACATCAGCTACCGGGACCGAAATAAAAAGGAGCTTGCTTGGAGGAGGGTTAGCGAGGTGGTTGGTGTCTCGGGTAAGTTATTTTAACTTTTCACAGTAAATATTTCCCCGCGAAAAAAACTACTACTTTCCCGCTTACGAGTTGATGTGTTTATTCAGTGGAAGTTTGCAAAAAGCGGTGGAAGAACCTGAGGGACACATATGCTAAGGAGAGCAGGAAGGAGAAGGAGAAGGTGAAGAAGAGTGGTGCAGAAGCAGGGAAAGGCCAGACGTGGAAGTACCTTGTGGTCATGTCCTTCCTCGAGCCCTACATCACTCCCCGTGACAGCTCCGGGAACATGCCAAGGCGAAGGGCCGAGGAGGAGCAGACCACAGGGTACAACCACCCAGAAGAAGAGCCAGAGGAAGCAGCAGCAGCAGGGCTGTCAGGTGCTGAAGGTCGGTGTCATGCAGCAAACAGAGACCTCCAACAGTTGGAAAAAATACATTTCTTTCCTTTCTATTACCCACATTTTGCTGACTTTTACATTTATATTGCTTTCTGTGTATGCATTTCTTTTAATGCTTTCTTAACATCATGGCCAGGTGAAAATAGGCATTGGCTATTTTCAAACCAGGATAGATCTTGATCATGTGTTGTGTTAAATTTCACTTTTCCCTTTCATATGAACAAATCATTTAAATGTACATAATAATGTACATTATTATGTACATATAAATGTCATAAGCGCAATGTACACATGATATGAAATAATTGTATTTCTTGTTTTCTTCTGGCGCAGATACTGCCACCACCACACAAGGTGAGACATCTTGGCCTGAGCTGCCTGAGCTGCCTCCTGCTGGCTGCTGCTGCTGCTTCTTCCTCAGCCGGTTCTTCTTCTGTGAGGGCTGGACCTTCCCTGCTTCTGCACCTACAGGTGTGGCTTTTTTTAATCATTGTTTTATTTTTATTCTTATTACAGGACTGTTCATATAAACAAAATGTTACTGCATAATATGCCAAAATTACCCAAGGGCTGTTACATCAGTGTAGACGACAAATTTACAGAGAAACGACAAGATGTCAAGGCACTACAGGTGGAAAGAAGCTTTGGTCTGAAGCTTCACATCTTCCCTCTTTCTTTGATAAAAACATACTACTGAAATACCTTATGCTATAAAAGTACTGAACAAATACATGCAATGGTTGCCACAAGATGGCAGCTATCCTGTTTAATGCAGACAATAGAGTATTACTTTTTTACAGCCAATTTCAAATTTCATTGCGAAATACAC